TCGTTGCTTTTTCAGGGGATGATTCTGTTGTTACTTCTCTAGAAGGTAAAACAGTCGTTACTTTTTCAGGTGATTCAGACGTTGCTTCTTGAGAAGGCGATTCTGTTGGTACTTCTTCAGAAGGTGATTCAGTCGTTGCTTCTTCAGAAGGTGATTGTGTTGTTAGCTCTTCAGAAGGTGATTCTGTTGTTACTTCTTCAGAAGGTGACTCAGTCGTTGCTTCTTTAAAGGGCGATTCTGTTGTTAGCTCTTCAGAAGGTGATTCTGTTGTTACTTCTTCAGAAGGTGATTCAGTCGTTACTCCTTCAGAAGGTGATTCTGTTATTGCTTCTTTAGATGCTGATTCTGTTGTTACTTCCTCAGAAGGTAATTCAGTCGTTGCTTCTTCAAAGGGTGATTCTGTTGTTTCTTCTTCAGAAGGTGATTCAGTCGTTGCTTCTTCAGAGGGTAATTCAGTCGTTGCTTCCTCAGAAGGTGATTCAGTTGTTGCTTCTTCAGAAGGTGATTCTGTTGTTGCTTCTTCAGAAGGTGGTTCTGTTGTTATTTCTTCGGAAGGAGATTCTGTTTTTACTTCTTCAGAAGGCGATTCTTTTGTTGCTTTTTCAGAAGGCGATTCTGTTGTTACTTCTTCAGAAGGCGATTCGCTCGTTACTTCTTCAGGTGATTCTGTTGTTACTTCTTTAGAAGGTGATTCTGTTGTCAAGTCTTTAGAAGGTGATTCAGTCGTTACTTCTTCAGAAGGTGATTCTGTTGTTACTTCTTCGGAAGGTGATTCAGTCGTTACTTCTTCAGAAGGTGATTCTGTTGTTATGTCTTCAGAAAGTGATTCAGTCGTTACTTGTTCAGTAGGTGATTCAGTTGTTACTTCTTCAGAAAGTGATTCTGTTAGTACGTCTTCAGAAGGCGATTCAGTCGTTCCTTCTTCAGAAGGCGAAACAGTTGTTGCTTCTTCAGACGGTGACACTGTTGTTGCTTTTACAGAAGGTGATTCAGTTGTTACCTCGTCGGAAGATGATTTAGTCGTTTCCTCTTCAGAAGGCGATTCTGTTGTTGCATCTTCAGAAGGCGATTCTGTTGTTACTTCGTCAGAAGGCGATTCACTCGTTACTTCTTCAGGCGATTCTGTTGTTGCTTCTTCAAAAGGCAATTCTGTTGTTACTTCAGAAGGCGATTCGCTCGTTAGTTTTTCAGGTGATTCTGTTGTTGCTTCTTCAGAAGGTGGTTCTGTTGTTATTTCTTCAGAAGGCGATCCTGTTGTTGCTTTTTTAAAAGGCGGTTCTGTTGTTACTTCTTCAGAAGGCGATTCGCTCGTTACTTCTTCAGGTGATTCTGTTGTTACTTCTTTAGGTGATTCTGTTGCTACTTCTTCAGAAGGTGATTCTGTTGTTACTTCTTTAAAAGGCGATTCACTCGTTACTTCTTCAGGCGATTTTGTTGTTGCTTCTTCAGAAGGCGATTCTGTTGTTACTTCTTCAGAAGGCGATTCAGTCGTTACGTCTTCAGGCGATTCTGTTGTTGCTTC